CGCTGGCAGGCAAACTTTAAACTGGAGATGACAACTTAATGCCGCCACCCCATCTACCCAGCCAGCTTGAGAATTTCGTTTCGTTCCTTGGCTCTTGCCAAGCTAAAGCAATTAAACTTAATGTCCAAAAGAAAGTTTCGCTTGTTGTTCTTTCTTACGTTTATTTTGGTGTGGTGTGGGGGGTTTGCTTTGTTAACAATATGTTTTTATTCAAGTATTAGCAGTACATGATTCAAATGATTGTTTTGCTTCAAAGAAATTAATATGCCATACGAATTAATTTATCCTCCAAAGTTGCACAAACAATGAGAGTTTCTCCCAAAAGCAATTCAAAGTATAAGTTTCTGTAGATTTATGTACGCAATACTCTTCGATTTAATTTATCCTGAGACATTTTTCTGACTGAATGCTGCCAGCTTCTTTCGGCAATTGCCATAAAATAAAATGTCAATTTTGTTTTTCACTTTATCAATTCTATGATTTGTCTGGGTCTGGGCTGGGTCTGGGTGTCGCGTCTCCTTTGGCGTCGCCCGCCTGCGTATTCAAGCAATTAAAGTTACGCGATTATGGGGCATTCCCAAATGGCAAAATAAAACTCAAATAAAACTCAAGGTGCTCCTTGAGACCCTTTAATCCATAAGATACGAGCTTGCGTCATAATGTGGTTGCAAAAGATATTCTTTTTTGCGCTTTTTTAGTTGTTTTCGGTTACTCCAGTGACAAGCTCAAAGGAAAGTCTGTAGCTATAAAATGCAGTCTCTGATTAACTTATCTCAAATGGAAAATAGTAAGCCATTTGTAAAGAAAAGCTATTTAAATAAAGCAAATTGCAGAGTTTGTTTATCTATTTAAAGTATAAATTCCCATCTTGCTTTGGGCATTTCTGTCTGTCTTTCCATACTATAGAGAGGACTAAACATGTAGTTCATATTGCTTTAACAGGAAATCCGTTGGAAGGAGTTTATATTCAGGGAGGAATAATTGTCATTCCCATCTTTGATGAGTCGAAATTATTTGAAATTGTAATTCTAAGATTTTACATTTAACCTTTAAGCTTTCCTCAATAAAGTATTAATCCATTGCCAAGTTAAAGCAACTACTTCATCAAAATGTCAAATGTCTACACATCGACAAACTTTTTCCAAGAACTATACATATGTGCATTTCCTTTTGTTGAAAATATAGCATTGTGTACCATATTTCTTCATCTTCTCCAACTATAAATAACTAACTTCATTAGGAGCCAAGAAGGCGCACACAGACACTGAGCATTAAGAGAGTTTTTCATTTCTATTGTGGGCCCCGAGGGAGACACACTTTAGCATCGGGAATCTTAGTGACTCCAGCAACTTCCTTCCATATAAACCTAAGCCGTACAAATGCCCCCAGCAGCTAAATAATTTCTTGCTCTGGCTGGAATGATGCATATACTTGAGATTCAAGGCGGCAAAATGGCATAAATCAAGAATGTTTTGCCTGTTTCTTCGTTTGCTTGTATGACAAATCAATACGCAAATTGGCATAAAAAATATAATATTGAGAGGCACAGCTAAAAGCAGAGCAAATTCTATGATATTGATATTGATACTCGTAAAACAAGATAAAGGCATGGAACAAGGAACCAGAACCAGTGCCAGGGCCACGAACAACAGGCAGCAGGGCGATGAAGAAAGCAAGGCTCAGGAATTTATATACAGTGCAGACTTGGAAGAGTGAACCAATTAGTTAGAGAAAGAGTGGAAAGAGATAAACCAACATTTACATCTGTTGAATAAGTTTAATGTAATGTTTATGCTGCAAGACTTAAAGGATGAGTAAATGGATTCTAATGTGAAAAATGGATACCTGATTTAAACTCTTTAAATAATTTTTGTATTTTACTTTTCAAAAATACAAAATTTATCTATCTATTCTCCATATAAACCCTTTTGGTTTTAATTAGATTTTTTCTCTCCGTATGAGTGTTTGCTGTCCATTGGAAAATTGTTTTGTGCTCAAGAGCAAACTTTTGTGTTGTATATTTATTTTTTTATGGTCAGGCGTCTGTGTTTTTTTTCCCCCCAACCCCCACTGAGTGGTTTTGTTGTTACGTTTTTATCGTATTACCCAACAAAATTACTTTCAAATACTTTTGAGCACACAATTTATAGGCATTTTGCAGTTTGGAATTTGATTCTCGTTTTTGGTTTGTCCTTAGCCCAGGAGAGAGCACAGCACACCCAGCCCCTGCTATATGGTGCGTTGATAGATTGCAAATATATAGTTATAGATCGCTTACCCAGACTCAAGTAGAATATCAAAGCGGAGAGCAACATGACGACGGTCATCAGGCAGATGCCCACAGCGATACTCCTTCCATAAACCATTTTGGATGGCTCCTAGGATGGTTTCGGTTCCCTTCTGCGGTATGTTTTCGATGCGCGCTTATCTAATTAGTGGGCCATCGTGGCTGGACTGGCGGGATGGACTCCTCCTTGACCGAGTTCATCATTCCCAGCCCCCTATTCCCACTCCGACCACGCCCCCCAAACACACATACACTGAACCACAAACCACAACTCTGTGGCGCTGACTCATTGAGTTTTTATATTATTATTTCTTATATCGCTGCGAGTTTTTTTCTTCGTTAATTTCTTGTCACTTCATTTGGCTAATGTTCCCCCGCGTTTCGTTAGGAGGAGCGTGTTTTAAGTGCCAGGATTACACAGCAGATGGAGCGGAAGGAGCCGGAGGTGGGCGGGTGCGGATAAAATTCAAAATTAATATTTTATACGGTAACTGCTTTCCACTTGATGCGATCCGATTCCAGCGATGACAAAATAAGTCTCAAAGTGCAGCAAAAATGATGCACCGGAAATTAATTAGCCGTAAGAGCTTCTCTCAATGAACGATTCCTTGCAGATAATTAAAATGTCAGTTTATAAGGACATCATTTAGCGGAAGATTAACATAAGGGAAAATTGCAATGCTTGTCATATTTATTGACAGACTTAATTATCCTTTGAGGAAAAACATTCAGGATTTTCTAGATGTACTAAAGTCTTAAAATATCTTTCAGTAAATACAAGTTCATTGGATTTTCCAATGGAGTTTATCTCCTCCTTGTACAGTCAGTCTCCCAGAACAATTTCGCACAATTTATGTAGTGAGCTTATGTTTCAGAGTTTAAGTTTTAAGGCTAGCATTATCAAAGGATTTGGCAGGCTCAGCAGGGGTTTTCGTAACTAAGCTTTTGACAGTCGGCAGTTCTTAGGAATGAATACAGCAAAAGGTCTCTGGGGGCGAATATTCATGCTAAGTAAATTCAACGATTTGTATGCAACAAATTTGTCTGAGAAAAGCAGGTATCACCGCAGGAATATGAGCAAATTTGTACATCTCAAAACAAATTGATTGTTTGGAATTTGGTTTTGTAAAAGGATTTAAAGTGAAATTAATGGATTAATTAAATAAGGTTCATTATAATAATCCACACTTCCACTCTACAAAAATCACTGAAGAGGAGCAACATTTAATTCAATTCCTGTCCGCTTATGATTTTCTTCATTCAGCATTTACCATCAACCGGAAGCTTTTATTCAACAAAAAACTATAAAATATCAAAACTTTAAGAAGAAAATCTGAAACTTTTCAAATCGTATGATACAGAAATAAGGGGGGAAAGGTCATAAACCAAAGCTATTTTGATTTTCCCTGCTGAATCTGTCAAAATGAAATGAATGATTTCAGTCAGTGCTGCGGCAAATGTGCTTCTCTTCAGACGTTTGTTCCCCTTTTAAATTAGCCGATTTTATTCCCTTAATTTATGCAATCCATTAGAGCAATCCCAAGGTTATAAACTGGCCAAAATGTACTACGAAATGGAAGTGCAATATGTGACCAACGTTTTGTTTAGGGGCCGTTTGTTTCTGAAACATTTCTTGCGCGGCTGATTAAATTTCGCTTAATAACACTTGGGGGCCTGGCCACTTGGGTCAGCGGGCGAAATTGTTTTCGCATCGATATGAGGGTTCGGGCACGGGTCACAGATGAACGTAAAGCTCAAGGTCAGTCAGAGACGAATCATAATTTCCGCAAAAGGTCATCGCTGGGCCCGCCGAACAAGGGCCGGCCTCATGCATGATCTGCCAGAGCAGAAGGAACAGGCAAAGGAAAACAGGACTCTCATTATCTCAATCGTCGCAATTGAACAGCATTTGGTGTGGAAAAGTGTCATAAAAATGTCTGTTCAGTGTCCTGCTCTTGATGTGGTGCCGTGGCCACTTAAGGCTCCCTTGACCACTTCTGAAGATTGTGTCAATGCGATAGGACACACCGCCAACCGACCATTCAAATGCTTGTTTTTTTGTTGGTTTCCCTCCTTCCGCAGCACTTGCACAGCCCGCAAAAGTAGGCAACACTTGGTTTCAAAACCGTTTACAAATCGCGCGGGTTGGCTATTCCTTAAAAAAAAGCTCAGAACGTACAGGACCAAACACGTCAACGCACAATGGCCAACTGAAGCTGGCAATGGCATTTGTTGCTGATTTTATATTGCTCCTTCAGAGCAGCAGCAGAGACAGCAGCAGAGCAGCTGCAGCGCAGCCTTCGCTTCGGATGTCCCTACCGCAGAGGTTCGGCTGAACTGCCGTGGCGGCGTCCGTTGAGTTCCTGCGGTTTTTGCCGGATGCCTTAACATCACAGTAACTGGTTCAAATCCCACTGGGGAACAACTTTGCACGCTTTTCGTGCTCTTTCAATTTGTAATCCAACTGCAGACAGACACTCGTAAATAAAAAGATATGTTTTATCTCAATATATGTACATGTAATTATGTGATGACCCAGAAAGCAGTTAAATATTCCTTACTCTTACTGCTACTACTGAATGCTAAAGGGAGAATACCTTAACTGCTGAAGAATGCCGGCAAAAATAGGTATCCGTAGTCCCATATCCTGTTGCTTTTTCCCCAACCACATATTGAATACAAAACAAATGTATCTTTTCGAGTTTTAAAGAAATAAAAAATAATAAAAGATGTATTTATTAGCTATTTAGATATAATGCAATTAGAATTTGTTCTAAATCGTTTGTTTAACGTTAATAGTAATGTGTATTAATAATTAAATTGCATTGCTGTTGGTGTTTTTTTTATGTTTGCTTTTGTGGTGTCTACAAATCTTGTGTAACTATTAAATATTGCTAATTAAAAACTAAAACTAAAAACAAGCTACAAAATATGCATCCATAAATACTAATGTTTAAACACCTTTTGCAATTGCTCAAGTGTAGGATCCCCACATACGCGTACGGATCCCAACCGGTGGCTAAGGCTAAGCACTTTAGAAGTGAAACGTTTAACAAAGCATTGCTAATATTTTTAATTCTGTTTTTTGTTTGTTTGTTTGCTAAAGCTGCGCCTAAATGCCTTAAGTACAATATAGTTTTGTGTAATTTATTTTGTGAATCCTGAATAAATCCATCCATAAGCAAATCACTAAGTGCACTACTTAGATGGTTAAAAGGCTTTTCGAATTATTGCAACAATTAAAGTTTCTATTTCGTAAAATTAACAACTAATGGCGGCGTTTTGTTTTGTTGTTTGGAGATTGGAATTGCGTTTTAGACTAGCAACAACAAAAACTAATCTAAAAAAAGTATAGCACTCGAAACTAAAATAATTGGAATGTATGTAGAATAAACATAGTAAATAGAAGTTGCTTTGTGCGCAGATATTTTGTGAATGTGTTGTAAAATTGTAACAATAATAATTATTGTTAATCATTAGTTTGAGAGATCCATTAAGTGTTATTTCGGATAGTAAATTTAACTAAAGCAATGCCCTCCAAGCACGCGGATGGATCATTGTAAATTTGTATAGAATATGGTGTATAATTGTGATATCCATATGGAAGCGTTGTGCTTTGCTCTCTCAACTCCATTATGCATTCAAGATATGTGTCCCATCAAATTGTTTGTTCCCAGAAAACATTGTTGTTGATAAACACCCTTAGAAAAATATGTATGTATGTTTCGATGTGTGTTGCTGCTGTGCCTTAGACCCAAACGCCATGGGGATTTTTACTAGTCGGTACTGCCGTTTCCAGCTGTCGCGGTGAGCCAATGATGCGACGACTGCTGCCCTGCTTGTTGGCCTGTCCCTCGAGCAAATGTTTAATCTCCTCCGTGGTGGTCACAGTCGTCAGACTCTGCAGATTCACCTCCTTCATCTCGTTGACCAGCTGCTCCACCTGACGCTTCTTCTCGGCAATAGCATGCTCGATCATTAGCAACTCCTTCTTCAGGTTATCCGCCGTCTTGTTCGAGGTGTCGGTGTTGTGCAATGCCTGATCGATTTCGCTCTGTATCCGCTCCATTTCCATCAGAAAATCACGTTCCACCGTTTGCCTAGCAATCGCAAGTACAAATGTTTAGATGAAAAATACTCTTAGGGGTCTCCTATATGGACTCACCGATTGTTCTGCTGCTGCTGTTGCTGCTCCAGCTCTATGTCATCCATCAGCAGGCGCATTTTGTTCTTGCACTGCAGCAGCTCTGTCTCACAATTGGCCAATTTGGAGCGCAGCAGGGCTATCTCCGATTTGAGGGTCTTCTCCTGCTGCTTGACCAATTCATTTTCCTCCTCCACATATTGCAATGTCTGCAGCTGTTCGCTGCCCTGACGAAAGGTCTGATCGGCCTTGGAGATTTCCCTCGAGATGGCCTCCAGCTCATGGGCATGATCACGCTCCTTGCTCTCCAAATAAACAATTTCCGTATCAAACTATTTACAGAGAAGTGAAATTTTAGTTGAAATTTAAATGGAAATTAAGTGTAGGGCTGTACCTTTTGTAATTCCATTTGCTGTGCTGTGATTTTCTCTCTCTGAAATTTGATCAACTGCAACAGATCGTTGTATTGCGTGGCCTGGAACATCATTGTTTCGCCCTCCTCCATGGATACACTGCCGCTGTTATTGTTGTTGTTATTATTGTGGTTGTGATTGCTGTGCTGATCGTAATCGCTGCTGAGAAAGGGATTCGTTGAGGAGGATGCATTGGATATGGTATCGGCATTGCTGCGTTGATTCTGGCACATGGGACTGTTCCTGGGTGGCGGCGGATCACGGTACGGTGGCGGCACTAAAGCTCCATTTGCCGATATCGTTGGTATTTGCGTCGTTTGTTTATACAGCTCGGGTGAGTTGTTATTGTTATTATTATTTATATTGTTATTGTTATTATTGTTGTAGTACATTTCATTGGGGCTAGCGCGTCGCAGTTCATTGCTTGACTTGCTTAGCTGGCTATAAATATGCTGACTGCTGCTGTTGTTGTTGTACAAATCATTATAGCCATTGCTGGCTACGGCAACCAGATTGGCCACAGTGCTGCTGCTCATATCCAGTGGATTCGACAAGGATTTCTCATGCTTGGGCACTATGGGTGCTGCAATGTTATCCAGCAGCGGCGGTGGCGGCGGCACTTGCTCCTTGGCTGCCTGCGGTGGCGATGGCGAAGGCGTTGCTACTGGTGTGGGATTCGGTGGTGGCTGCTGCTGCTGCTGTGGTATGCCCTTGACTATCCCAATATTATCGAACTGCTTGGCATCGTAGCCCCTGCAAGAGAAGAGTTAATTATAAGTTTTATTATTAATATACTCGTATCGTTAAAAAGCAACACACCCAAAGCTCTTTTTCAATTCCTTTGTCCGGTAGCTTAGTTCCACATTCGATTTTTGTTTTTGCAAGGTGGGCGCTGGCTTTCCGCTGCTGCTGCTGTTGCTATTGCTATTGTTTGGACCCAGCGGTTTTTTCGTTGTCATCACAGCATAATTGTTGTTGTTGTTGTTGTTATTGTTGCTCTGCTGCGTCTGCGTTGGCTGCTGCTGAGCTTTATTCTCTGAACGCTGCAATATAAATTGCACATCATTTGCATACTCGCCCCATTTAAGTAGCAGCTTCATGGGATTCTCATTGGGGGCCAGGTGTCGTTCATTATTGCGCCATCGTTCGATCAGCGTAAAGCGCCCCACCTTACCCGTGGCATGGGCCAAGGCAAACACCACATCCTATGGACGGCATAGAAGATATAGATAAATAATTAACAACAAAATCAATACCAATCAGTGGTGGCCAACGAAATGGTTTCCAATTAGCCAGCACTACATACCTGACACGTCGTATTCACCGTCACGCCACAGACAATCCGCTGGATGCCCTCAACCCAGACTTTCAGCTCCATTCTGCCAGCTAATTGTGGTGTCTTTTTCGCTGGAACGATTATTACTGATTGCTGTTGCCGTCGCTACCAGAAAATTGCTTTCCAGAGACTGCCGCTTCAACTGGCAGACAGACAGACGGGGGCTGGTGCTGGCTTTCTTGCCTGCTAGGCGGTGGACTGAGTCCGGGGAGCAGTTGATGCCTGACTGACGTTCGACGTTCTGCTGTCGCGTACCCAGCGAAGCGTGTGTGTTGCACCCAAATAGGGGGTGGAGCTGCTTTTCCACTTTTCCCTGTCGCTCGTTGAACGTTCTCTCGCCTGCTCTCTCTTTGTTCCCTTTCTTTGGCGCTGTGGCGACTTTTCCGATCGCTGCTACTGCTGCTGCCAGCCTCTGATTTACTTGCACTTATTTACAACACCAACAACTGGTTTGTTTTCTGTGTATGCATGTGTGTGATTTGCATGCGTGTATATCTGATTTTTGTTAGTACTATCTCTTCCGGCAATGCATCTCCGCTTTTATTCACTTGCACGCGTGCCTAGTCGCGATTGTTAGTGTTTCGGGGCCAGGTAAATTTAGTTTTTATAGATTTATTGAACGAAAAAAAAAACGAAAAACAAACGCACGCATTGTTGTTGGCATGCACTTCAGTGTGCCCGCGGACTGATGGATAAAAAATACCGCCAGACCTTCATAAATATATACCAAAATATACTTTCTCATTTAAAAAAAAAGCAGTAAAATCAACTGTGAAAATCATATTACTCAAATTTGATATTCTCTCTAATGTTACTATCTAACTGGGATCACACATGCTAGACACATAATTTTATCCGGTTGATGAATTAATTTTCTACAAGATTAACTTACTTTAAGGATTCCTTTTATTTAATTGCTTATGAAGCAATGTTTAAACATAGAAGCTCAAACAATGTACTCTTTTTTACATGAGTACACAGTAGCTACACATTTGCTACATATAAGCAACATTTTTATGGATTGTATAAATTTAATTTTGAAATAACTTTAGGACGGATAGGGTATATAAACATACCATATCACAGAGTTTCGGTAATATTTGTGATATATATCCATATATATATCCAAAAAAGTATGACATTTATATTAGCACAAAAATATTTAACCAGCACTACCAAACAATGGTTTTATCGCTTATCGATATAACCTAGTCGTGCGATACGCGGCCACTGTGCAACACTGCTAGCCGATAACATAAACATGTATGTGTGTATAGGTGCATGTCGCGATTGCGGAGTAGCGTAAAATTAATTAGAAATTAAACCATCGTCCGTGCTTGCGAGCAGTGCATTTAGAGGCCACCCAGCCAACGACACAGCCAAAAAAAGTTGGCCCAAAGGCAGCTGCAGCACCCCCGCGCTACCATTAACAGCAATCAGACACGCATTTCTATTGATTTTGGCTGTGCATTTGTGCATTAAATATTAAACACAAAAAAGAGTGTGGAGGTGGGTGTGCGTGGCAGCCTGGCGAATTGTTGCTCCTGTTTTTCCCCCACTCAGTGCCAAGTGATCTCGTCACCATGGAGCCCAGCAGCGTCGACGCGTTCATGTGGAAGAAGTGAAGTGGTAGAGGCAACAGAGGAGCAGCCAGCTGTCTGTCTGTCTGTCTTTCTGCGGGTGGAGAACCAAACACACACAAAAAGCTAACGAAATTTATTGTTTCCATCCACCTTCCATTGTTGTTGTTGGGGGTGTGAGTGTGTGGCCTGGGCGACAGTGAGCCAGTGTGTGTGTGTGTGAGTGTGTGTAAACAAAAAATAAAAGTAAAAAGTTAACCAGTGGAAAAGATAGTAGAGCGCAGCCAGCAGCAACAATGGCCAACAGTCGGAGTCGCGCCATATTAAATGTTAATCTAGATACGGTCATGGCCAACGATCCGTTGCGTGAGCTTTTCGAGGCCTGCAAGACGGGGGAAATAGCCAAAGTGAAGAAGCTGATAACGCCACAGACCGTAAACGCACGGGACACGGCGGGACGCAAATCCACGCCATTGCATTTTGCAGCGGGTAAGTTTCATCAAAGGATTTGCTAGAGACCCCCCTCCCCTCCTCGCACATGCATCATAGGCGAATTATGTTCCATGCTAAAAACAACATTCATTTGCACCCCTCGAGGGAAGGTTGAAGGACTCGCACCCACCCACCGCACCCCACCACACCCCACCACACATGCAGTTGCTGCTGCCTGTGTGGCCTTGAGCTACTTGCGCTTTGGGTGTGACGGACGGACGAACGTACGGGCGGGCGTCATTGTCGTCGTCGTCGTTCTCTCTCAGTCGGACACTCCACTCGCGTGGCGTTCGTCTGTCGTCCGTTGTCCGTTGTCCGTCGGGTGTTCCAATGGCGTCGAGAGTTGACCTAGTTTTCCCCATTCTGTTCTTTCGGGCTGGTTTCCGGAACCGCGTATAGCCTCGACACTTCCCTCTCTCTCTCTCTCTCTCTCTAGCTCTTTCTCTTTGGATGTGTGAGTGTGCGTGTTGCATTTTAACATTTTCTATTTACCAAAAAAAAAAATGAATGCATAACAGATAATGTTACGAACGTTTATATACCCTGGCAGTAAAGTCCAGAAATCTGGTAATAAATAGGGCTATAAAACCACGTATGTGTAGTAAGTTTTTACTATAGCAGCTATATGCTATAGCACAAGATAGCTTCAACAAGTAAAACCATTTACAATTATATCGTATTTATTGGCTTAAAGGAAGCGTTAAGTTTCTTCTCTTCAAATCAGTTATTTGGCTTTTAGCAGGGACATGTTTGACTTTCTGGTATTTTAATTGAAAGAATATTAGAATTTCCGGCTGGAATTGCCTTTCTTTTGTTTCATTTAATTAGAATTATGTCATTACCTTAATATTTTGTGCATCATTCAGCTCACAACTGACTGGCGATTGTTGTGCAATGCCATTTGTCTTGGCATACGGTTAATCCTAGACCCCCTCCATCTGGAAAGTCGTCAGAGAGATGCTTTCTTTGCTGTTGCACGTAACAAAGAATGGTTAAAAATAGCCATACCCTCTGTAAAAGTTTAAAAATATGGCGTACATACGTATGTACAGGCTGCACGCTGATGATGATGATGATGATGGGGCGACAGTGACAGGCTGAAGTGGGGTTGGGGGTGGCATGAGGTAAGTTAGGGGCAGGATGACTTGTTGTGGCTGCTGCTGCGCTGCATGCGCCATCCTGCTGACGTCTTTGTGGCCCAATATTTTTTCGCTTCTTTTGTTGTGACTTTGGCCTAGTTAGCATTTTCATACATTGCAGTCTTATTGTCTATCTGTCTGACTTTCTGTCTGTCCACACGCAGCAGCAGCCAAAAGAAATAGAAATCATCATTCGAAAGAGAGGGCCCCTTTTCTTAACCCTTTCACTTGACAACGAGCGACGCCCCTTGCATATCAATTTGGCTTTTGGTGACTTGTTTTTTATATTTTTTTTACTTAACCATACATATATTTTTCGTTTGTCGTTCGTTTTATTATCTCTTGTGGTCTACTCATGATTCATTCGTCGGGGGTCTGGTCTTTCTTTCTAAACTGGTTTTCCTCTACTTATTATTACTTTTCTGTCTGCGCTTTATTTTTTTCGCCCGTCTACTGCTATTTGTCACGTTCTGTGCACAAAAAGTGAGATCTTCAAGTGGTCTCTGGATTGGGTTTTGCTTTGCTCTTTTCCTGTACATAAGTACCCCATAGTTTTGGCTTGTTTTCACCTTGTCTTTAAATTATTTGATCGATATTTATCAAGATACACATACCTGTTGCACAAAAAGAAAGGGTTGGTGGGGAGAAGAGGGAGAGCCGCAACAATAATCACGTTTTTCCTACTTCCCTGGCAATCGTGACAAATTGTTTTACAGTTTTTTTTTTATTATTATTGTTACTTCAATCAACAAAAGCAATTCCGTTCTTTTTTTTATCAGCTTTTTGGCATTACACTGTTATCTTTTATTTGCGCCTAGTTTCTGTGTGTGTGTATGTAAGTGCGAGTGTATATTTACTACTAAGTTCGTTTGGCATTAACTTAAAATTCGACTGATTAAATCAGTGGTGGACATGGCCTTGTTGCTGTCGTTTCTTCTATAGCTCCAGAGCGACGCACAAGTGAAAAGTGAAGAAGAGAATCCCCCAGAATGCAAAAATAAACTACAAGGCGTGAAGATCGCTTTCGGGCTAATCAGTTGTGTATCTGCCTACTGCTCCTCGTGATTATATTTTACCTCAGTGTAGAAGATATGATATGATACTATATGGAAGAGTATGTTCCATAAGTTCTATACATGATATATAAGTATACAAGTCATATCATATAGCCATTGTTTACACAACTGTTTTGTTAAAAATACAAAAAGTATATGGTATGGTAAGCTATCTGTAGCTATCTGTATATATATTTAACGGGTCCATTGTACTCTACAAAAATAATTCTGCTCTGAGAATTTTAATTTCTTTTCTATCCCAAGGGTATCTCGGTTACCTAAATCCCATCAAAATAATTAATCAACTCAGCAGAAATTAAATTAAACCAGAAACACATGAGCCATTCCACCTTTTGGGTAATGATAATAAAGTCGATAAACCATCTGAGAGCGCGACCTTCCTCGCATCATATCTTGGCTCGTCGCTATAAAGAGGTTTTATTGTTACCCCTTTAAATGAAATTAAAACAAATTAACCTTCAGGCTTTTGAGCACTTGCAAATGATACGCGTCGTAGAGCTGCTCGGCTCGTATCTATAGAGCTGTAGTACGCCTCAAGGATCTCTCATACTTTTTGTATGCACAAAGCAAAGCAACAGCAACAGCCCCCCATTCAGCAGTGCAACAGTTGAAGTTTTCCATTCTATTAATTTTTAATGCAAAACTTTCGTAACTAAAAAAAAAAAGTGAACGGCAGAAATATTTCGCAAACTATCGTACTTTTTTTTTTTTTGGTTTGGTTTTGTAGGTGGGTGGGTGGCTCTGGCTCTGGCTCTGGCTTTGAGGAGTGGGGAAGCTTTTGTTTGGGCAGAGATTTGTAATTGGTTTCGGTTCTCTGTTTGCCGTTTGCTGCTGTTCATTAAAACTTTTTGCCAAAGAGCGTTACACTCGTGTCTATATGGCGGAATCGTGGAACTGAAATTTCAGATGACTCAGAGATTTAAGATTGGCCCTGGCCCTGGCCCCAACCCAACCCAACCCAACACACACACACTCGAATGGAAGATAATGGAATATATGTATATGAAGATAAATATATATTTATGTATATTACTGATTTTAATTAATAGTTATCTTCCGTTCAGGATCTTATTTATATGTTGATTGAGGAAATTCCTGGATAAATTGTATACTTCTTGAATGTTAAGATATTTAATCTGTTTTCTGGTGCTTAAGTGGCAGAATGCCTCTGTTACTATGTGGAACAGCTCTTATAAATGAGTCGATTTGATTTCCTGAACGCATGAGCCCAGTGGAAATTGTTTTCTTCATTCTGAAAGTTGTACGAATTATTTGTCTTTATTATTCGTATTTAATGAATAATTTTCGAAATCAACCTTCAAGTGACGTTCCCGCTTTCACGCAAACGTCGTATTTTCTTTGCTATGCCTTTAATTTGATTGCAACAGACAAGGCCGCAAGTACACTGCGGGGGATCCAA